CTGAGCCACCTTCCCAGCCCCTGCACTTATGTTTTGATGTCTGCTGTCATCTGTGGTCAAGTGTAGAACTTTCCACTGTGACCTCAGGTCGGCATTCATGACATTTTGGGTTTTTGAGTGGCATAGATTTTGATTTTCAGATTAGGGATAGTCAACCAATAGTATGAAGAGATGGTTACTGTCCAGAATATACAGTATAATTTCCTAGGACCTGCCTGATGTGCCCCACTCTGTATCTCAGTGCTGCGCAGACTCGTCAGTGACCCAAACCATGTTATTCCGTAACTTGAGCCCTCACTTACCAAACCCTTATCCCGACGCCCTTTCCCTGCCTGGTAAGCTGAAGTAGGCCCCTCCTGGGCTCCCTGAACCTCTCGGCACTGCACACCAGTCTTCTGTATTTATTCTGTTTGTGATAGAAGCAGTTTGTTCAGTGGCAGAGGTGGGTCTCAGCTCAGACCCTGGATTTCAACCTCTGTGAGCCTCTGCAGCCTCTTTATCAACCTGATTCTGGGCACTGTTGAGATGTAAGATAAACCAATGTTTTCCTCTCATTGACTCCACTTACAAGCAGGGTATGTTCACCAAGAACCTCCTGGCTTCTAGCTACTTGCTTATTGCTTATTAACCTGTGATATTCTTATGTCTCTGAATATTTAGGGGCTATCGAAAAATCTTCATCCAGGGCCCTCTTTTCATGAGATTGAATAGTGAACAGAATTCCTACCTCAGCTGTCCTCAGACAACAAGTAAACAATGATGACTCTGTCATGAAAGGGAGTGGATAATTCTGGCTCTCTGTACATCAAAAGATGTGGTGATGTTATGTAAAATAGTCCTTCTCTTTCAAGAGTGTTCCTGGCTCAGGGAACCAAATGCTTCTGTTTTGGCACATGGGTGTTGTAGGCTGAGAAACAAGGACAGTACATCTGACTTTAGTTTTGCTCATCCCATGAGTTCTTGGTTTCAGGCTCTGGTTGATCTCCTGGGAGCATGTGTTCCTCACCAGTGAAACCTGGCACAGAGCATGAGGCTGATTTGCATGTATGGACTCATCTTTGCACTGAAAACAAGACTCAGGTGTCACTGGGTCTGAACACAAACCTGTTCTCTCTCCAGGCTGCTAAATGTATTGTCTTTGTCGCTGTGATTTCTGAACTAGAGGTACTTAAAGAAGGGTCTCCTGTTAGCTGTCCTGAGAATTAGCATAGAATTTAGGAGCATGCAGTGCCTTTTTCAGCATGGTTTCTATTGATGACTATCATGATGTGGCCTGAACTCTGAAAAGCCAGTAGGAAGAAGGCTACTCAATTGAACTCTTGCAATGCACCATGGTTCAGATGGGCAGTGGCTTTGCTAAATGGAAAGTATCATTTTCAGAGATAGGATTTAGCTGAAAATCTGTATAGTGTTTAGCAAATCCCTCTTGCAGCTGTAATGCAGGCAGCAAAGGCACTTCTGCCTTTTGATTCTAAGCACAGAGTACACTGGGGAGTGGAGGGTAAGATCCCCTGTGCAGGTGCTTTGGTAAAGGCAGGAGACTTGTTACCTAGAAGGCATGTAGGCTTCGGAGTTGCGGAAACAGTGTGATTCGAATGACAGTTCAGGGAGAGCTCACAGATGAAGGTGGGATCTTTTGCCAGTCCATCTACAGGTGGAATGCTGGGAAGCACTGCTGGGTAACTTAGAATTGAGCTTAGAAAAGTACCATCCATACTTCTAGGATGTCCCAACATGGAGAAAGGAGGGAGTGCTACACTCACAAGTGTGCTGGGCCAGCCTCACACCCAGCTCTGCTTCTACAAGTGGGCCGGTAGAAGCTTAGAGTATGGAGTGCCACGGACCGGTGGAGTGCTGTGTTTGTTCTCGGCAGCAGGCCAGGCAGAAGGGCTGAACGTACACACAGGTGTGAAGGCCAGGGCCTGCTGGAGAACATTGATTCACAAACATGGTATACAGCAGGTGTCCTGCAGCATTCGCATGTGAGTTTGTAAAGGCAATGGGGCCATCTTAAAGTGACTCCACTAATAGAAGAGATAATAGCTAATTATTTCTTTAGCAGTTAACCTTGGATCAGGTACTGTGTTATATACTTTATATAACCTCATTTAATCATAACAACCCCTTGTGGGATTAGTATATATTTTCATCCCCATTTTAGATTTTTGTTTTCGTACTGGGCCTTGAACTCAGGGCCTCAGCATTGTCCTTTAGCTTTTTTGCCCAATGCTAGTGTTGTACCACTTGAGCCACAGCTCTATGTCTGACTTTTGAGTAGATAACTGGAGGTAAAAGGCTTATGGACTTTATTGCTCAGGTGGGCTTCAAACTGTGATCTTCAGATCTCAGCCTCCTAAGACTACAGATGTGAGCCACCAGTGCCTAGCTCCTACTTTAGATTCTTTAAAAAAATTATTGTTATTATAAAGGTGATGTACAAAGGGGTTACAGTCACATGAGTCAGGTAGAATACATTTCGTTTTGGACAGTGTCACCCCCTTCCCTCACTCTCTCCCCGTTTTTCCTTCCAATCCCCACCCACATTTGTTCATCCTTTGTTCCTCCATTTCTGTGCCCCTCTGCCCCTCCCAGAGACATATAAACAAATAAGACACAGCCCCCCACCCCCCCAAAAAAGGAAATTAAAGCAGCAACAAAGGAAAAAAAAAGTTTCCATTTTTTGGAATTCGCTTCAATACCATTTTAGATTCTTGTGTAGTTCACACTAGTAAGACTCAGCAAGGATACAGACCCACTGTGCTTCAGTCTGTTCTTCAGTGTGTGCTCACCTGCCTCCCAAGGGGTGAGCTGGAGGAAGGGGAGGCTGGAGGAGTGGGAAGAAGCAGTGACAGATAAAGGGTTGGGATATGATGGATCAGGACATTCATGGTGAAGTAGGGCACTAGGTAGAGAATCTTGAACACTAGCATCAGCAGGGCTTGATGGTGCCTGATGGCTCCAGGTTGGGTGGACCATATACCGGTCCATCCTGTTGTGTGTAGAAACATAGCAGGACCATGTCAAGGAGAAGTAATGAGTTTTGATGTGTCCAGGCAGGGGATGGTGAGATCAATGGGAAGTGTCAGGCTAGGATGCAGAGAGGAGTCAAGATACCTAAAAAGCCAGAGGTAAGAGCAGAATACAGAGCATCTTGAACAGGGCTGTTGTCCAAAGGGAAAGCTAGGAGAGACTGAAGAACCTCTTGGAGGAGTGTCAGCACTGTGAAGTCCTAGGGAAAGGTTAGGTTGAGGTAGAACCTCAATGTGAGGAACAGGCCCCAACGGGAGCCGGAGCAGACTGGCTGACTTGCTGAGGCGGCTGCACACGGTGCCTGCATCCTGCCAGCTTTTCCTTCATGTTTCTGTGATGTGCTTCCCTTTGCCAGGGTCCATCACTGACGTCACATTCGGAGCAGGGGTCAGTTTCATAGGAATGTCACAGACTCCCTTTGCAGCCAAAGGTAAGTTTCCTTCTTGTGTGAGACACTAGTTGTCCTTGAAGTTCTGGAAAAACTGAATCTGTGTCGGGACTCCTTTTCAGAGAAAACGGAAGCCCAGAATCAAGGAAATGACATTTTATGTTTATCACTGCCTGATAAAGCGTAAGTATGACAAAAAGTTCCTTTTGGTTTTGTCAGGTATTTTTTGGTTTGGGGTTTTTGTTTTGGGGGTGTGGTCTCAGTATGACCATGTCATTTCTTCCCAGGACTCCACCACCTCCGCAGTGGAATGTGAAGACTCTAGGCAGGACTGATGACCACCCTAGCTCCAGTAGGAGGTCCAGGAAGACCCCCCTGAAGGCAGCTAACTGAACAAGGACACTGTAGCTGGTGTCTGGGAAGGCAAGAGGCATTCTACGTCCTGTGTGCAGAAAGGTAGAGGGCTTCCCAACCACCTCACACCCCCTGATGCTGCCGTTGTGTGCAGAGCAAATGTGTGGTCACTCATGTGTGCCCAGCAAAGCTGTATTTATCTTTCTGACACATGACCAAAACTTGTAAAACTAAGAAATGCCAGATTTAGGATTTTAGCTATTTAGTATTATACTCTGGATGTCAGATTACGATCTGGTCTTTCAGGAATACAACTTAAAGTGCAGCTTTCTTTTATATAAATGAAGCTTCTATTAGCTTGTTTGAATTCCTTATAGTACATATTTTCCCAAATCCATTGACAAAAATTTGAATGTATTATTTTTTCTATTATTTATAACTGCTGATTTAAAAGAAGTGTACAGCTTTCTAAGTTGAGATAATAAAAGTTAAGCATAAATATAGCCTTGCAGCATTCACTACAGTTTTTCTGGTGTCAGAAAAGGGCTTTCACTGGTAGTTAAGATAACTACATGGAAGACAGGGTCTCACTTCTGTTGTTCAGGCTGGTCCTGAACTCTTGCCTTGGCCTTTCAAGAAGCTGAACTACAGGTGTATGTCACCATGCCTTGCTGGTTCTTTTTATTTTTTGCAATGGTGAGGATTGAACCCAAAGCCTTGTGCATGCTAGGCAAGTACTCTACACAAGCTAGGTCCTCAGCCTTATTTTGTTGAGTCCAGTATTACAGAAGCAAAAGTAGACTTATTGTTAAATTTTTTCTTTTAAACTTGCAGTATCTTCCCCTCCCCTGCCCCCAAACACACACAAAAGGCTGGGGATAGAGCACAGGGCCTCATGAACACTAGGCATGCTCTACCACTGAACTATACCCCAGCCTCAAGTATGCATGTTAGCATGCACATATGGTAGTTGGGTTTGGAAGGTGGAAAGTCTCTGTGTTTCACCCATACCTCTCCCATAAATAAACTCTGACACAAATGTCCTCATCATTGATGGAGTAAGTCACAAAGTTGCTCGAGTGGACAAACTTGGTTCCAGTCAGGTATTCATTTCCTTGTAGACAGTGATAGAACACCTCTTCATTGTAATTGCTTAGCAAAATACTAAGAAGACAGCAAATCCAACATGAGCACAAATAAGAAAGAACCATTTGGAATTGGATTTTTTTGAAAGGCTTTTTATAAATGAGGCTTTAACAAATACCAGGTGCATTAGTACAAGTCTATAACAACTATATACAATATCCATACCACAGGCCAAAAGAGCAGCCTGCCCAGGCCTCTTCCTAAAGAGGCACAAGCTAAAGACACGAGTGCTCCTTCTCTGTGGCTTCGGTCACTGCTTCCCAGGCTCACACACTGCATCAGGCCCCAGCCCCACAGCCCGTGGCTGAAGGCTTTCTGGTATAAGGGAGGCTAGCAAACCCCAACCATCAGCTGGGGGGGCTGCCTCAAGAGGGCAAATGAGGGGGTGGTCTTCACTAAGCAGTCAAGAGAAAACAGGCACCAGGGGAGCGGAATTGCTGCTCCTGCCAGCATCTCGTCATAAACATTTCACAGAACTCATAAAAGTCAACATGTCTCAAGCATTCAATGAAAAACAACAGTGGAAGTATAGAAAATTAAGACACTGGAAGATAAATCACCAGGTTGACTACATTCTACACGAACCCATCCCTGGGCGCACAAGGAATTGGGTGCTCCTCCTTTCAGAAGCTTCTGGCTTCAAACCACTTCACATCTTGCGTGTGTTTTGAGGCTGAAGACATCTGCTCTTGAAGAACAAAGGCTTCTAAATAATGTTTCTAATGTTCCCCACAAAGTGAGCAGTGTCTCAGGTAGATAAAAAGATTTAGAATCAAAATTAGCAAACTGCTTTTGGTTCAGGCGTTCTACTTTTCTAGCCTGAGTGCACTTCCTGGTAGTCTTCAAAAGGCTGGACCACCTGTCCCCAATGGCTTATTAAGGAGGAGACACAGCCCATAGGGTTGAGTGCTTTCTACATGGCCAGGAGGTTTGTTTTCTTTGAAAAATATTACTGTAGTTGACAGCTTTTATTTCAAATTTGCCTTGGCCCTACAGTCTTTCTAACTAAACAAATAATGGAAATGAACCTAAAAAACAAATGTCAGTGAACTGCTTTGATTCATAGCTATCCATAACCAAAAGAGGGTGTCACAGGAAGCTGCAGGCTGGGCAACCCATGGAGGATACCGCCTGAGACCCTCCAAGCACTGCTAAGCCCACTGACAACACTACTAGAGTTAGTTGAGAGAAGAAGCACGGTCACAACTGCGAAGTGGAGGAGGGCATTCTGGCTGACACTTTTGAGTTAGTGGCCCAAACTGACTTGAACGGTGGTGTGGACTAGCCACCAATGTGGGCATGTACACATGTCTAAGGCCTCTGGCAGTCTTTGGGTATAGGCAGTTTTACTGATCTCCGGAAGAGGCTGTTCAAAGCCAACCTGAGGGTCCCAGGGTTTCTTTTGGAGAGATGCAGATACCAACATTGCTAGACTGGAATTTTTTAAAGGCTTTTTAAGCAACAGTGGTCTGCTATACAGACAGCATAAATTTTCTCATGAAAATGTTTAAACTTTAATGGACAAAGGAATGTACTAGTAAACCTCTGAGAGGAGAATTCCTTGGTTATAAAACTTAATTATTGGTATTTTCCAATTTAACATAGTAAGTTGAACTCTTAAAAAAAATAGCTTTTGCAACACTGTATGACAATATATTTACAGTTTAAATAGAAATTTTCTTTTTAATCAAAATACATCTTTAGCAAAAATTTAGAATGTAAAGTTTTATAAAATAAGCAAGACCCATAGAAAAGCATACTTCAGTACCATTTCAGACTTGGCCTAAGACAAGGTTTTCTTAAATCCTGATGCTCTGGACAAGCAGGTTTCCTTGGGGTAAGCAGAGCTCTCATCCAGAAAGCAATTTATCTTCCTGATAATGTTTTTTTTGAAAATGCCGATCCCAAAAGATTTTTCAAGACAGAACTCTGACCGCCAAGGCCTTAAGGAAAGACAGCACAGTAGGGTCAGGGCTCACAGAGTGAGCACTGCATGCACATCCTTTCCCAGGCAGAGCGGGAAGTCAAGGCCCTGGGCTTCCTGTGGTGCTCAATGTTGCTGCCAACACTGCTCAGCCACCTTGTCTGCTCCCTCGGCCAGTGCTGAACATGAACAGCAAGTGGGTGTTCATCAGCCAAGGAAAGCTGATGTCGGTAATCCTAGTTAACACCCTTGTGAAAACGGGGCTGGCAACATACTGGGAGCTCAATAGTGATGTCCATCTGTGTCCTGTCCTGGTGGTTACTGTGCCCATTTTGAGGAAGATTCTTTTTCCGTGAGGCTTGTTAAAGAGTTAAGAAGTAGCAGTCAACTTTGGCCAAATAAAAAGCTTCTGCATGAGTGTCTAGCTCTGTCCGAGTGCACGTGGCTCACGGCTGCCTTCAGGGGTAGAGGTATTTGCATGTGCTCTGTCACATCGCCTGATCTCAGATCACAAATGACGACTTGTGTCTGAAGTCACCCTGCAAAGGCAGTGCAAAGTTAGAACCAATCCACAAACCTAGTGAGGTGGCAGGAAAGGGAAAATATCCCCAAGGAGGAAGCTAGGGGCCAGATTAAAGCAGAGAAGCAGTGCCCATCCATTAGACTGTGGGAAGTGTGGGTTTCACTGGTGTGTAAAACAAGGACTACTCATACAAGGCTGCTGGGTTTCCAGGCAGGAATGTTTGTTCTCTTCACTGGATGCACCCACACTGCCAGTTTCCTACATGCTGCCTGTTCAGTTCTCTTACCTCCTCATCTGTCCTGATGTAGTTAACTCCATCCAGCTTCCCTGGGCTCTTGTAACTGTGAACAGAAGGAGGCGGCAGTTCAGTGCTGTGGGTATCATACTAACACCAGCCTGAACTTCACCTTCAGGTAGGCAGGCTCACCTTTCTTCGTCCTGTTTATTGTTGATGAAATAGCCACGTCTGTACGCACAACAGATGCCTAACGTTATCAGAGCCAGAACCAATAGGACAACCAGAACTCCTCCAATAATTCCAGCGATGTTCAGGTCATCTGCAGAAAAGGTTTGTGGGAAGAAATGATGTGCACCATCCCTTAAAAAGAATAACCAGCCATCCTTCCCTTCTTACCATCCATTTCCTTTCCCCCTTTCATCTGTTTCTCTGCCCCCTCATGCCTCTCATGGCCCAGAGAGTAAATTAAATCTTGCCTAGACCCTACAGGGCACCATAAACCCTGATATTACTACAGTTAAATTATATCAAGGAGGTTTGGAATTACATGAAAGGCTGAAATATGCTCTGGGATAAATGTCTGAGAATATTGGTAATGGAGAAAATGGTTACAGTATATGAAAAATTAGGAGTCAGAAGCTCTAAGGAAGAAAAAAAATCCTAATTGATATGGATTACTTGAGAAAAGAAAGTTTCAAGCCTTAAAAATGAAAATAGTGCAGTATTTTCACAATAAAAAAGAAAATAGTGATTTCTTTTTTGGGGGGGGGTGGGCACAAGGAAGGGCAAAGAAATGGAGGGAGGAAGGGTGAACAAATACAGTCATGGTATCCAGTATATACTATGTAAAAAATGAACTATGCAACTTGTAGACAAAGGTAGGAGAGGGAAACAAAGAGAAAGTGAAGGAAGGGGTGACATTGTGCAAGAAGAACTGTAGTCATTACTAGACTTGCGTAATTGTGACACCTCTACACAATGCCTTAATAACAATTATATTAATTATTATTTTAAAAGTAAAAATAGTGACAGCTCAACCTTTTATTCCATTGGCCACATGTCTAGAAAGCCCCTAACTTGCATTCCAATTACCAATTTGTTTATACCAAATAAAGGTGCTTGGTTGATTATTTGCTATGGTGACATGAGTGCCTATTTATGCACCAAAAAATACATGGGAAAACATACAGGAAACTGACCAACTCAGGAACTTTCCTTCAGGAGAAAATCACCATAGAGTAGTTTCTCAGATTTCACAGATGAGAAGAATCACCTGGAACACTTGTTTTGTACAGACATTTCTTACAGGTCTGCAGTAGGCCCTAGGATCTGTACATAATATTCTAAAAGGTTCTAATCATCAAGCCATTTTGGAAAATACTTCTCTAGGCGTGTGCAACAGGGAAGAGTCCAAGAAACTCTCCCAATGGGTCAGGATACCCTAATCTACTGCCTCTTCCTCTCAACACCTACTTTAGAACCAGTGCCCTCAAGGTGACATCATAGATTATGATCAAAGTATTGGGGCAAAGTTCCTTTTGTTTCCTGCAAAATAATTACTATAACTGGACAAACTTCTAGCATTTTGTTTCATGGTTCTGTCAATTACCAAAGAATAGGAGTTTATCCCACTCTGAAAGCTACATGCTTAACTATGCCATGTTTCTAACACAGAAGACTTTGTGAAGTCTGTTCTGGAGATCCACTTAGGTGCTTGGTATTTTCAACTTCCCCAGTAGATTTCGCTGGATCCTGTCAGCAGCAGAAGAAAGCTTGGCAGTGGGCAGAGCAGTAACCTAAACTGATGGTCTATCACTTAACTTTAAATGTTCTACTCTACCCAGTGTCCCAGTAAAATTCATTCAAAAAACAAAAAACTCACAGACTTCCATCTCCTGCTCATCACACCTGGCTGAGCCTGCCTCATTGGAAGCAATGCAGTAGTATTGCCCAGAGTCCTCCTTGTGAACAGCACTAAAAACCTGTTTCAGGAAGTGAAAGAAGTAAGGAGTCAGCCCACAGGGCAGCTCTGCCATCTGAGGTCCTGCACATGGTCAGACTTACTTGCTTTTTGCCTACCTATGGCTTAGCAAGCACCATCCTGTCTACCTTCCCATACATGCTTTCCTGACACTCCTGCTTCAGAGCTTCCTGACACTAAACCCCTTCACGTGTGGACAGGTGGTCTCATTTTACCTTCTGAGATTTATGAAGGACTGAACAACTGCCCCAAGCCACAATGTAGCTCACAAATACTGAGTCCTATTATGCCTAAGTACACAGGTAGTTGGGTATTCCATGGACCAAAAATCTCCCTGTTGAGAACTATATGCAGAGAAGCCTGCAGTGGCCTTGGTGAAGCTAGCCTGTCCACTGCTGTGTGGCCAATCTATTTCCTCTTTCCATACAGCAGTGCCCCCCCCCACTACTGGACTATGTTGAACAAATTCCATAAATAATTCAGTATGTATCTCTAGAAGACAAGGGTTTTTAAACACCATAATCAAAATAAATTACCATGCCCAAAGCAATTAACAGTCACTTAATATCAAATATCTAGCCAGTTATCAAATTTCCCTGATTTTCTCTTAATGATTTGATTATCCGAATAAGGGCTCTAATAATGTCCACCCATAACATTTGTTTAATAGCCCTCCTTAGTCTTTTAACTCTAGGTTTTCTTCCCTTAGGTTATTCCCTTAGCGTGTTTATAAGCAGGGAGGGCCATTGTTTTTTCTGTAGACTATCTGGTGTTCTAGATTTTAGCTCCTGTCTTACAAAGTTGTTGCATAGTCTCTCCTTAGCCAGGGTTCCACAGAAGTATCCCTTGTCCCGACAAAGGCCTGTCCACCCTCACCAAGAGAGACCTTACCAGAGTGCCTGTCTCAGGGTTCAAGATAAAGGAGGAATTCCGAAATCTGGGATTGGCTCTGGAGTCTGTGGGCAGCGGTACATCATTGCGATACCAGCTGTAGTATGGCCGGGGATGGCCTTCGCCCTCTTGGCACTGCAGTGTGGCCATCTTGCCTACAGGCACAGCCCTGGGGACTCTGCACACAGGGGTTACTGGCTTCACTGCAGGTAAAATACAGGTTTGTGTTTAAAACCTCAGCAACATGGCTTTATTTTTTACCGAAGTCTACTGTAACAGATCAGCTCCAAGGACCAGGGAGCCAGCCACAGGGCTTCTGCACGGTGGGGCACTGCAGACTGCCTGCTCATCCCACCCCATGTTCAATCTCACACATTTCCAATCCCTCCACTATCAGTAGGAGGCAATGGAGAGTGTGCTAGAGCAGTCAGGACCCTCCCGCTGGTAAGGAGCGCTGCAGAAGTGCTATTGCTCTCTCACTTCCCACCCAGCTCTGGCAGCCTCAGCCTCATGAGCTCCCCTCCCAGAGTCATGGGATACCAAGGAATGCAGCTCTGGAAGGAAAGAGATCAAAGTAAGAACCAACTTCTTACTCTAGAGCTACAAACTCTCGGGGCCTGACATCCTAAAACTGCTTTACCTTCCATGAGTTCCTACCTTGCACAATTAACTCAATGGTAATCTCATCAATTTCTTTGCGGTCATTTCGAGCAACCACCTCACAGCGATAAAGTGCTGAGTCTGTCCGTGTCACATTCCAGATCTTCAGGGAAGTTTTCCCCAATATTTCTGCACGACCAGCCAAGTCCCCTATTGAAAAGAAGGCAAGGCACTAACAAAACCTCTTCAGAGGTATCTTTGACACTTGAAGAGAATCTTTTCTGGGGCTAGAATCAATGCCTCAGTATCTCCTTATAAAAGAAGTAAGCTCCCTGCGAACTAGAACTACCATATCCCATGACAGCCCAGGATTTGGTAGTGCTCAGCAAGCCCCTGTGGCCTCACTACTGAAATTACAATAAGATGACTGGGGAGACTGTTCACTGTGACTTCTCAGAGACCTGGGCTGCCATTAGATTCAAGCCCAAACTAATGAACTGGTGTTTGTCAAAGCTGGGTGACATAGAATCCTCACTTCTGCCTATGGCTGAAATTTTCTGTAATAGTAAATTCAGAAAATCAAACTGTCTTGGCTAGAGCCTCAGGCTAGCTGGCTAAGTTTCCTGCCACAAGTACATGTGTGGGCTGTAGACAAGAGAACTCAGCAGGCACAGCAGACTACTGGATCATACCTTGAATCTTGTTGTCAAAAAACACATAGGTGGTTTGGTCATCTTGGATTTTCTTCCATTCAATTCTAGGGTCATTTGTCTGTGAGTCCGTAATGATACAAGAAAGTTCCACATCTAATAAACAAAGGGAGTAAAAGAACACTGGTAAGTGGGGACTTTTCAGGGCTCTCTGTATGTCTAGGTCCTTCCCTACCAACTATCTCTAGTTGAAGAATTTTGTTTTGTGCCAGTACTAGGCTTGAATTCAGAGATGCTTGCTCTGCCTTTTCTTCTTTTTCTTTTGCTCAAGGTTGGCAATCTACCCCTTGAGTCAAGGTCCACTTCTGGCTTTTTGCTGATTAGAGTTAAAAGCCTTAATGATTTGTCTGCTCAAGCTCACTTGACTGGAGATTCTACAATCTCAGCTTCCTGAATAGCTAGGATTATAGACAGGAGCCACTGGTACCTAGCTTTGAAGAGGGCTTTTACACAGATTGCAAAGTTAACCATTACTAGGCTCCAGCTGATTATTGAATAGGTAAGACTTTTGCCAAAACAACAAAACAAAAAAGCACCAGACATTAGTAAGGATTTTACCACACAGAGTACACCCTCTCTATTTCATATGAGATTTCTCTGTTGTGTAAGCACAAAGCCAGGCAGGAAACAGATGTTCACCACTACACACCTGTACATTGATGGCCTGCTGATTCACAGCTTCATGGACATACACACACCAGCCACTGAGTGGCCACCCCACACATCGGTGGCTTGCTATAGATAGGGGAGCCTGTCTTGAGTTGGCTGCAAGACTACCCAATTTCCACTAGTGGGTGCCCATTCCCTTCACAATGACTCTCTGTACTCACTTTCAAATTCATGTACCACTGGGTTTCGGTTGCTGGACTTGAGGTTCACAGCCCCTATCAAGCAACCTGCAAAGAACAGGAAAGGTAAAATCAGAGCCTATGTATCAGTAACAGCAGAAAACCCTTGGACTGAAGTCAAGTTTTCCCTTCTACCTAGGTGACAGTTGCTAACCACTGAGGATGGGCAAATATTATATTCTAAAACAGTGTCTCTTAGAAACACAGCAAGTTGACTGCTTTCCTTTTTGGTCTGACCCCTAGAAGGGGTCAGTTCTGTCAGCTCAGTGCCCTCTTTAGTCCCAGGACACAGGCCAATAGAGCTCTAAAGCCTTTCTAAGCATTTGCTTCTTGCTGCAGTCATCATAATCCTTTTACCATTTCAGGTCCAGACCTTCCAGGCCTACTGTCATTCCTCCTTCCTGCCCCTCACCTCCTCTAGGTTTCAAATCCACAAAGGAGCGGTCAGGACCACATCAAACAGAGGGAACTCTTAGTGTGGAGCCTTCCCTTCAGTATGGCATCCACCCTCTCTGGGCACAGCCATCAACCAGCTAAGAAATCCGCTTAGGCTGAATTTTCATCTACCTGCTGCTATAATGCCCAGAAATAAACCCTCACCTAATTTTTAAGTAATTTTCAAAAAGGATACTAAAATCATTCAGTGATCATTTAAAAAACCTCCAACAGCCATATTCAAAAATGGGCAAAAGAAAATCCTCCAAATAAGATATACAAATGGTCAATAAGAACATAAAAAATCGGGGCTGGGAAGGTGGCTCAGTGGTAGAGCGCATGCCTTGCATGCCAGAGGCCCTGGGTTCGATTCCTCAGTACCACATAAGCAAAAAGAAAAAAGCCGGAAGTGGCGCTGTGGCTCAAATGGTAGAGCGCTAGCCTTTAGCTGAAGAGCTGAGGGACAGTGCCCAGGCCCAGAGTTCAGGCCCCATGACCGGATCCCCCCCCAAAAAAAGAACATGAAAAATCGCTCAACATAACTATAATGAAAGACAATACCATATACCTAAGTGAGAGGGCTACTGTGTGGCTATGTGATGCTGGGGACTGAACATAGGACCATGCTAGGCCTAGATGAACACTCGACCACTGGAGCTGTGCTCTCAGCCCCAAGACATTGAAAAGAAAAAGAAATGTTGGTAAGGATATAGAGAAATTGGAATCTGAATGCACTGCTGCCAAGTTTGTAAATTGGTGCAGCCATTATAGAGAAGTTTGGCAATTCCTCAAAAACATTAGAATATAGAGTTATGTGATCCAGAACAGAATTTAAAGCAAAAACACCAATGTTCTTGTTGTCAACCATTGTTGACAATAGTCGAAGGTAGAAAAAACCCGAACATCTACACTAGAATGGATCATGTGTAATATACAGACAATATGGTGTGATCCAGCTTCAAAAGGGAAGATCAATTTGACACAAGCCATAACAGATAAACCTTAAAGACATTAAGTGAAATGGAAGACACGACACAAAAAGATTAATACTCTGATTTTACTTACATGCAGTAACTACAACAGGAAAATTACGAAGCAAAAAGAAGGAAATGGGGAAAGTTGCTAAAGTAGCATTACTGTTCAGTGGATACAGTTTCTGCTCGGGCTGATGAAAAGTTCTGGAAATGGATGGTGATGGCTGTACATTCTATTTTAATGCCACTTAGCTTTACATTTTTAATGGTTAAAATGGTAACTTTTATGTAATTTACCCACATGATGAACAAACATTCACCTGTCAGTGTCACACAGAGGCAAGAAAAGCCTCCAGGGTGAAGAAACAGCCTTCCACTCATGTATACCTGTCAGTTCACTCCTCCCACTCACTCACATGTGAGCAGGAGGAGCAGACAGACTCTACCTGCTACTGCTGAGCAAAACCTCAAACATTGAAATGCCAGAAACACATAGGTCCCTGAAAAATTACCCATGACTACCAACAGATTGTCCTCATGTAGTCTCATTATAAATGTAAGTAAGGGAAGTGGCACTGTGGCTCAAGCAGTAGAGTGCTCGCCTTGAGCTGACGAGCGCAGGGACAGCGCCCAGGCCCAAAATTCAAGTCCCACGACCAACAACAACAACAAAAAAATCTCAAGAGGCCCTGAATTCAAGTTCTAGCAATTACATAAACAAATAAATGAATAAATAAATACCATCTGTATAAAAAATAAATAAATAAATGTAAGTAAGCTTTATCTATTAACAGAATTCAGGGGGACCACGGACTTCCATATATTTAGGTTTTCATCTGATTTTTTTTCTAAGTTGAAACGGTAGAGAAGCATATTGTTTCTAGAATTCTACAAAGTATTCCTTCACTTTTTTGTGTGTGTATCCTCTGGGATCTAAATACCATAGTGACATTCACTGTCATTTAACAAATAAACAAGGGTTTTAAGTTTTAGTGTTGAAATAATTATAGACTAACAGAAAGTTGAAAGAGAGTATAGAAATATCTAATATACTCCAAAAGTCTTAACTGTTGGTCTAGGCACTCTGTTTATCAGTTTTGTAAAACATTTGGCATGTAACCATGACTGAACCAAACCTAGCAATGTTCCTGAGCATTTGTCCTAAAAACAACACAAAAACAAAAACAAAAAAAAACAAACAACCTCATTCACAAAATCCTACACACTTACATTTATAGCACCTTCATGCCCCAGGCTGAAACCTATACTCTCTTCTTGCTTGCATTGTTCCTTAAGTCTGAAGTAACTCACCCCCTTCCTCTTCTGTAGGTTAGGCAGTTTTCCCACATCTGCTTACCAATGTTTTCTTTACCTTTCATATTCTGCTATTTGAATAGGGCTGCCTAAGTCTGTGGTTTAGGGCACTTATTCTGCGGGTGTCTGCCAAGTTTCCTGGACTTGCGGTATCTGGCATGTCTGGCATGGTGTCTGGCATTAAAATTTAGAAATCTTTACTCATGACTGCTTGAAATATTTCTTATATTCCCTTCATTTCTTTCTGGTATCAACCAACAACACATATGTTGCACTTTCTGTAGTTGTCCCAGGATTATTAGATACTCTTGTATTATTTTCCAGTTCTCTTTCTCTAGGCTTTGGTTTGGAAATTTTCTATGTAACCTGAAGCTCACACATTACTGTATTTGCATAGTTGTGCCCAATCTACTAAAGAGTCCATCAGTGAGTCAGATGCTGTGCTGCAGCTCAGACTTAAAATCTTAGGGAGGCTGAGATAAAGAAGACTATAGTTTGAGGTTAGCCCAGGCAAGAGTCTATGAGACACCATTTCAGTCAATAAAAAAGGTGGGGTGAGCAGTGCACACTGTTTCTTTAGCTTTGCAGGAAACATAAATACGACATAAGTAGGCCCCAGCATGCCTGGGCAAAAAGTGATGCTATTTGAAAACTACAGGACTGAAAATGTAGCTCAAGTGGTACAGCCCTTGCTGTACCAGCACCATGACCCACAGATGAGTCCATTAGTGATGTTTTTCATTTCTTTTTTCTTTCTTTTTCTTTTGTTTTTGTTGTTGTTGGTCGTGGGGCTTGAACTCTGGGCCTGGCAACTTTCCCTGTGCCCTTCAGCTCAAGATGAGCACTCTACCACTTGAGCCACAGCACCACTTCTGGTTTTCTAGTGGTTTATTGGAGATAAGAGTCTCAGAGTTGGGGCTGGGAAGGTAGCTCAGCGGTAGAGTGCATGTCTTGCAAGCATGAGGCCCTGGGTTCGATTCCTCAGCACCACATAAACAGAAAAAGCCGGAAGTGGCGCTGTGGCTCCAGTGGTAGAGCACTAGCCTTGAGCTGAAGAGCTGAGGGACAGCGCCCAGGCCCAGAGTTCAGGCCCCATGACTGGCAAAAAAAAAAAAAAAGAGTCTCAGAGTTTCCTGCCTGGGCTGGCTTTGAACCGTGATCTACAGATCTCAGCCTCCTGAGTAGCTAGGATTACAGGCATGAGCCATTGGCGCCCGGCTTGTGTTTTTCATTTCTGTTACAGATTTTCCATCTCTAGCATTTTTGTGATTGTATTTCCATAACACTTCTTTCACTACCCATATGTTCTTGCATGTTACTTACTTTTTGCACTAGAATTCTTAACATATATTAATCACATCTGTTTTAAATTACTGTCTGATAATTCTAACATTCCTGCCATACCAGTTCTGACACATCCTCTGGTTCTTCAAACTATTGTGTGGTCTTCTGTTGTTTTTATTTTGCTTTTTTGCCTTTTTTTTCTTTTTGCTTTTTTACTATGCCTTGTAACTTTTTTGGTAAAAGCCAGACAGGATGTACTAAGTACATAAGTAAGGCTTTAGTGTTGTGGTGGTAATGTGTGGAGAGGGGATGCATTCCAGAACCCCATATTTAGGTCCCAGTCTTTTAATAAGTCTGTTCACTTCAGCAGGGACTTTTTTTTTTTACAAGTGTTTCCTAAGCTTGTGGATGTAGGTATTTACATCCTCTGTACACCAATTATGGTGATAAAACTATGTTAGGCTATGAAAAGACAGTTTCTCTTGATAAGAACTGAATGGTTCTGGATACATTTCAAAATTCTGCTTCTCAGCTGGAAAGGGATTTTTCCTCAGACTTCACTGAGAGAACTGATAAGTCTCCTGGAGGTAAAACAAGTGTTGAGGCCTCCTGAGACAGGAACTCCTGGTGCTTTTAGTTCTCAGACTTGTCTATGTCTCTAATAATGTCATTTGTAGCTTTAGTTTTCCTACTCTGATACTAGCTCTTGGGTAGATTTTGCTTCTAGATTTTTTGACCTATGTTCTAACATGCCATGTACCTGACTCTTCTCTCCAGTTTTAGGGCATTGGTTTGATCTGTGACTTCAGTTCTCTAGCAGATCTAAGAATTGGTGGTATTTAAGTGAAGGTTGTTCAGCTCTTTTAACAAAGGTTCTGAGCTCCTTACCTGGCACATTGGGAACCAGTCTGAAGTTCTGTGGGTTGGTTTTGTATACATTACTGTGTGGAGTTTTATTTGTTATAATGTGATGTGTGTATGCATGTGTACACAGGACTGGCAAAAATAATAATAAATAAACTGAGATGGTAGAGGCATGCT